GAGACAAATTTCAAAATTTTTATTCACTTAATGTGACGAAAACCTATTTGAAATATGTCCAACCTGCCGGAATCGAACCAGCGACCTAAAGATTACAGCAACCACTACAGTATTCCGCTCTACTAACTGAGTTACGGTCGGCTTGCAGTAGTCTTGATTAGATATTAATATAAACCTTCCAACTATATGGGCTTATAATAAGTTATGAAGAACTTTAGTCGTGAAGCCCATTATGGAACTAATGAAGTAAGTTTAAGTCGGAGAAATTTCAAAAAATACCATTTTTCAAATGTCATTTTATAAAAATTCCATAATTTTGAAATCTTTACAAAAATGCCACTTTTTCAAATTTTTTATATTATTTATGTTTGGGTTAATTATGTTCTATTAGGGTTTAATTTTGAGTGTTTAGAGTGTTTTAGGTGTCAAAATATTTTTTAGGGTTTAGAATTTTAAGATATATGCTTTATAATTCTATAATTAGTTATATTTTTGTAAATGGACACCCTTAATTCTAATGAAGTAGTTAAAGTTAAACAATGTATTTTAGTTAGCAAAAAGAAAATGTTAAACAATGTATTAAAATATGAAATTTCATAATTTAAGTATACGTCGTTTTGAATCTAACTAATAATATAATTTTTGTTTGTTTCATCTATATCGTCACATAGGAAAATAAACAATTTTGTTGACAGACAACAAAAGAAGAAATAAGTAACAATGAGTATAGCATAAAATCACGCTTGACTTTTAAAAATTAAAATAACTTATAACTGTCAACTACCCTTTAACCTCTATTATATAAGCTCTCTTTGCTAAGAAAGATTGGAAAACAAAAAAATTGTAAGTTATTGAAGAATCATGGCCAAGTCTTCTGCTGCATTTCTTGTCTTCCTCTGCCTCTCCATGCTTATCATCTCAATCCCTGGTCAGTTCTCTAGTCTCTAATAATAATGCCAAAAAGTAATATAATTATTCAGGATATATGCAAAATCATCGAGGAAATTAAAGGATTAAACTATGTATTTTGACAAATATGCAGAAGTGGAGGCTAAGGTAGTCGTGAAGTTAAACATAAAGTTGTTGGAGAATGGTGAGACAAACGAGTGCGACCACAAATGCAGTGAAGGCCATGGGGATTGCAAACAATACCTAATCCTAGCGTTTGCACCCGTTCCTTGAACTGGCTGATCCATATACTCTTATCATCTACTCTGCGTCACATGCATGCATTATAGTGCATGTATATAATTCAATCTATATCTATGTTGTTTAATTTAAGGAATAAAACATCTTAAGGAGTCGTAACTTGAGGTTTCTTCTATGCATAAGGTCATATGTTTGACTGTATTGAGATAATGATATATTGTGTGTTCTAGTTTGATGATTATAAAGTTATAATTAGAAGAAAAAAAGGAAGAAAAAAAAAAGCACGTCTTGACCGAGGGAACGTCTGTCTCTCGGTGTCACAAATCGAAAAAAAAAAACAAAATTTAGCAAAAAAAAATGAAGTTATAGTTATATATGATCGTTGCCTACTATATAACCTTTTGTCTTGTGAGATCAAAACGTTATTAGGCGATTTTTGAATACGGGATTTCGAGCAAATCAAGTTGTTTTTTTTTTTATCAAACAAAAAGACAAGCTTTGAATATGAAAGACAAAAAAATTGTGATCAATTGAATACGTAGCATGTGGGGGTGATATAATAGCTGTTGGACTCTTGGAGTGTCCGTAGTTTAAGTCTCCAAAAAGATAATGTTATGTTGAAAAAAAGCGATCGTGTACGACAAGATAATTAACTAAAACAAATCTCTTTTTCTTCTCGGTTTCAATTCGATTGCTGCGAAGATTTTGTCCGTGTAGCTAACTATAATGAAGTACAAAAGTATTGAAAATTGGTTTAATGAGAAAAGATCAGATCATCCATGTCTACTTAAAGTTTATGTTTATACCAAAAAAAAAAAAACACAAGATAATTGCATATGTAAAAACGTGTTACGATGCTTTGAAAGGAAAACCTATGTATATATACTTGCAAATATCCATAGATGTTAAGTTCGTGGAACTATAGATGAAAAGTTTGCAAATATTTTCTAGACCAAATAGAATATATTTTCCATCCTTCTACTACCAAAATTTCAAACAGGAATACAAGATGACAATTATATAGTCTTTATGCTAAACAACAGTTCAATAACATCTATATCTTTCAAAAGAATTGTTCCAAATAACAATATACGTATTTAAATTTGATAATGGCGAGATAGAAAATTGAGCTCAAACAAAAACCAGCAAATATGCGTCTTTATATTATTCATTTGTATCATCTATATTTATAAACATGAAGTCACTTTGCTGAGATGTCGCAATAAGAGCGATTTTAGGAGGCAAAACAAAATAATTATTTCATGCGGTCGATTATGATAATTGCCTTATTTACGATAATTGTCATCGATAGTTTTTGGGTCAAAATAGGTTCGCTTCTTATGATCGAATATGGGCTTTATCTCATTTCATTCATTTCATAATATGGGCTTGAATAATAAGTTTAATAAACCCTAGGTAATGAAACCCTAGATCTTTGGTATAACTATATATGTTCTCCTCTCTATTGTTCTCATTGAATTGTCGTAGGTTTTGTGTTCGTCTCTCTTTCCTATACTAAATTCTGATTTCAAATTTTGTTTCATCTTATATGTTTCCCTTCGATTATGTTTTTTCATATCTATGGTTTGATCTTTTATGTTTCTCCTCGATTATGGTTTTTCATGTGTTTATTCTTACTCCTAATTTGTATGGTTCTCTTCGTGATATATATGTTGATGCATTTATTTTCGTTCTCCTTTATGTATACGTTAATTTAACGTTCATTGATGTTGTTTTCATATTAACCTATCGTCTTTTAATCTAATTTGTGATTTTTTTTGTTTTGGTAGATTCTATTATCATCGTTAAGGTTTGTATTGCAAACTAATTAATATGGTTGTGAGAGTATTTTTTTAGATGTATTGGTTCTTTATCTTGAAGTTTTGATATCCTGAGAGTTGTATGAAATTTAAGTATGATTCTACTTTTCCAGTCCAAGGACTGTACTACGATAAACAAAAATGATTCCTCATGAAATCGGATTTCTTTGGTTCAATCGACCCAGATGGGTGTTATTTTGGTCGTCGTAAGGTATTGCTTAGTCTCTTCTTTTGTCGTTTTAGCCCCTTCTTCATATTTCTTTGGATTTCTTTGGTTCAATCGAGCCAGATAGGTGTTATTTTGCTTTCAGATGCAGGATTTGACTCCTCTTCATATTTGTTATTGTGCAGCTTAGTAGAGAGGAACTAGAAAATACGTATGGAACACGACACATAGGTCATGATCAAGCAAAAGGTCTGGTGGGATTGATGGATTTCTTCTGTTTCATCGAGGTCAGATTAATCTATAAGTGTATTTGTACAAAGGAACTATGATC